CAGAGAGAGACACAGCGAGAGAGAGAACACAAGCAGGGGGAGTGGGAGAGGGAGAAGCAGGCTTCCCGCCGAGCAGGGAGCCCGATGCGGGGCTCGATCTCAGGACCCTGGGCTTGTGACCTGAGCCAAAGGCAGATGCTTAACGACTGAGCCACCCAGGTGCCCCTGATGCAGTATTTTAAAAAATCAAAATGAATGCAAAGAAAAATATGTGATGAACTAAGATATCAAAATTTAAAATAAAGCCAGGATCACTTGTAAGACTTAATATTGGCCATCTATATCCTTAACATTTTTTGCAGTTATTCCTTCCACTAGAAACTTCTCTCTGGTTGACCTGATCCCTGGCACCCCCATACCCAACCCACAGGTGAATTGTGGAAATTTCTTACTTGATCTTATTTCTATTTATTCACAGGCCCTCTTACCTCCTCTCCCCACTTCCATCCTTTCCTCAGCAATGGCGTACTTGAGGAAAGTCCGTATTTTTCTTATTGTGTAAAACAACTTATTTCTCATAGTCTCACTCTTCTTCAGACTCTGCTCTGTCTCCGGGCTTTCTGAAACCACAATGGGTCTTCAAGGTGTTTTGTAAATAATAGGCCATCTGCTACTTTAGCTACATAAAGAAATGACTTCCCAAGATTGAATTCTCAGGCATCATTGTCTTTTCCATGAATGTCTGTAAATTGAAGAGAGCAAAGATTGACTCTCTTAAGATTCATACACTGCCATCCCCATCCCCAAACAATTGGCTACAATCAGGGTGTGTGTGTATGTGTTTGATGAAAGTAAGAAAATGAATGTATCTAATTAGTTCTACAAGACTCTGAGAAGTAGATATTATTACTACTGTTTCATAAATGAAGGTACTAAGGCTCAAATTGGGGCAGGGATGTCCTCAAAGTCACACATGTAACAAGCAGGTGGAATAGCTCCGGAACAGTCATGGGCTTGATTGAGAGTCTCATCACCCATTCTCTCTTTGATACTTCATTGTCACCTTCTGCCCTGATCCCTGTAATGAATCCCTTCCCAAAGCTTACTTACAACCTCTTCAGTGTTGTAAAAGTCTCCATTAGGGCTGCCTCTAGGGTGTGCGGGGTCTCAAGTGAATACTTTTTTGCAGGTCCCCTATCTGTATAGATGATTTCATTAAAATGTATTCCAGAATTCAGGGGTCCATGTTAGATACGGTGGTTTATATGGAACAATGGTTAGTGAGGCGGTACGTAGGTATTTCTCGTGCAGCTGGTGCACAAGAGGTCCAGCACAAGCAGTTGCTCCAGCAGCTTTCTGAGAAGGAGAGCTTACGGGGTACAGTTTTTTGAGATCTTGCATATTTGAAGATGTCTTTATTCAACTCACACTTGCTTGGTAATTTGCCTAGGACTGGAATCCAGGATAGGAAATGAACTTCCCTCAGAATTTTGAAGGTATTTTTGTTAGTGTAAGTATAGGCTAATTTCCATAACAAAGAAATTTCAAAATACAGTGACTTAGACATCCAATTAATAGTCCATATATTGGGCTCCAAACTGGGTGTGAAGCCTACTTAAAAAAAAAAAGTCCACATATTGTCTCTTCTAATTTCCAGCTCCTTTTCACTACTCTATTGGAGTAGTGAACTTCATCTCCACTTTTTCTATTAAATTAAAAATGTTTCTGCTATTGAATCTTTTCTGTTTTGTTCTTTGTTACTTTTAAAAAACACTTTGCTCCACCCAAAACAATGATACCTAGGAATAAACCTAGCCAAAGAGGTGAAAGACCTGTACTCTGAAAACTATAAAACACTGATGAAAGAAAGTAAAGATAACCCAGAGAAATGGAAAGACATTCCATGTTCATGGATTGGAAGAACAAATAGTGCTAAAATGTCTATACTACCCAAAGCAATCTACAGATTTAGTGCAACCCCTATCAAAATACCACCAGCATTTTTTGCAGAGCTAGGAAACACAATCCTAACATTTGTGTGGAACCACAAAAGACCCCCAAATAGCCAAAGCAACCTTGAAAAAGAAAAGCAAAGCTGGAGGCATCACAGTTCCGGACTTCAAGATATACTACAAAGCTGTAGTCATCAAAACAGTATGTGCTGGCACAAAATAGACACACAGATCAATGGAGCAGAATAAAAAGCCCAGAAATGGACCCACAACTCTATGGTCAACTAATCTCGGACAAAGTTGGAAAGAATATCCAATGGGAAAGAGACAGTCTCTTCAACAAATGATGTTGGAAGAACATGACAGAAACATGCAGAAGAATGAAACTGGACTACTTTCTTACACCATACATAAAAATACATTCAAGATGGATTAAAGACCTAAATGTGAGACCTGAAACCATAAAAATCCTAGAAGAGAACACAGGCAGTAATTTTTTTTTATATTGGCTGTAGCAACTTCTTTCTAGACATGTCTCTTGAGGCAAGGGAAGCAAAAGCAAAAATAAACTATTGGGATTTTATCAAAATAAAAAGCTTCTCTACAGTGAAGGAAACAACAAAACCAAGTGGCAACCTGTGGAATGGAGAAGATATTTACAAGTGACATATCTGATAAAGGGCTAATATCCAAAAAATACAAAGAACTTATAAAACTCAACACCAAAAAAATGAATAATCCAATTAAAAAATAGGCAGAAGACATGACTAGATATTTTCCCAAAGAAGACATAGAGATGGCCAACAGACACATGAAAAGATGCTCACCATCACTCATCAAAGAAATAAAAATTAAAACTACAGTGAAATATCACCTCACACCTGTCAGAATGGTGAAAATCAACAACACAAGGAA